CTCATATGTCTAAATCTCAGGAACTGGAGAATCCCTTTCAACACCAGTCACTCGACTTCCACGATCCTGAGCACTAACACCTTTACGAGTGGTACAAAAGGACGTTGACCTCTGCGTGGAGGCATACTATCTATCAAGTCTCAAATCCAAGTGACTCATATAAAAATCTCATATTTAAAAACAAATAAGATTAAATTATTTTAAAAAAATTACAATCAAGATAGATTTTAGAAAATACTTATCATGTCCAAAATATTTTCCATGCATGCAAAAACTATTTCTCAGAGTAGTATAAGTTTTACAAGCAAAACATAGTCCGATAGTTAAACCTGAGCTTTGATACCAGTAAATATAACCCTCTAAACCCAACCTAGACGTTACAACCAATTCTTGGAGATCACAACAGTTTAAATTAACCAAAAACGTAAACTTTTCTGAATTCATTGATAAATATCGCAATCCCAAAACAATCTCATATAATAACATGCAATGATTGAAAATATGTGTTATATATGTATAATAGTAAAACTCAATTCGTATAAAATATTACATGCTAAATTAAAATTTATAACCCCACAAAAAACGTAATATAACGTCTCATAGTCTCAAATACCTTAAAAAGTAAAATCTGGAAGAAAAAAAAAGTTGTATAAAAGGTTCATAGTTTAAAAATGTTCGTACAGTGTCTTAAAAAATGGGTTAGTTGACAATTCTCCAAGTCCCAATCGTATTCCTAAAAACCAAAAGGATCTAAAAAGACAAGAACTAGAAGCATGAGTTATAAGGCTCAGGGTGTTCCCTATCCTTATACACGACATATATTGGTACTTAAACAAGAAACATAAGGTATGATATAACAACATAAAGAACATGAAAACAGTAAAATTAGAAATTTAATCATCATACTGTCACATCAGCAACATACAACCTTATCTTTCGTCACAGATAATTAGAATATGGACATTATCTGTGAAACACCCTAAAACCGATTTGGCCTAAAGTACCACACTGGGCCGCCGAGACAACCCTTGAATTTCAAAATATGTTCATTTTCCTTTCAACATACTGAATGGTATCATAACAAAACATAAGTAACTAATATAAAAACATTTTACAAAATTGGAGATCCATTACACGTGATTTAAAACAAAATAATACACCTTAAAGTTTGCAACTCAAATACATAAGTAAGGTTCTATGAATACACATTCCCACTAAAGCTATAATACAGTACTCTGTCGGAGATGCTGGAAGTACTACTACGACGTGCTCCATGAACTGCCCAAGCTACTGACCTACAAATGGAAAACATTCGAAGGCTGAACCTACAAAGCCCATCAGTATAAACGCTAATCTAGAGCAACATAAATTTCATAAACATAGACAAGTTGAGAAGTGGTACTAGAAGCAGGTACATGCATGACCTAGTTCAAGTGCTACCTACTTGAGGCTTTACTACTCTATCACTGAAGTAGGGGTCTTACGCTTCACTTAATCCTCTGCTAAGGGCCTCGCCATGAGAACACCTCTAAAGGGTCTCTAAATCAAACAACTGAACATGCTACGTATTATCTAAATGTGACATTCATACTCCTATGCATTATCTGAATGCAAACCTAGCATATTGTACATCATCTGCATGCAGATCTGACTAGTATATGGTCTTACATATCTATTATACACTAGTTACTGAAGTAACCCCGATATCATATAGCATCAGCATAATTCCCACATAACATATTGAATTATCTCATGGTCCTCACATAGCCATCACATAGATCACTGAGGTGAACCCAATGTCACATAGCATCAGTACAATTCCCGCACAAACTGAAGCATTGGCTCAGTCTCATTTAGCCTTCAATCCAAGCTTTAATTTATTGGACATAGTGAACTGACGGAGCCATACATGTATGACTTAATTAACAGACATGAGGTAGGTCTGGTGGAGTGGTAGGAGGAATTTATGTGCATCTCAAAACAATACCCCAGTATACAGAATAGTCCTAGAGTTAAGAACTGGAATTTACGTGCATCGGAAGCTTACCTGACTGTACTGAACTGACATAACTATACATGCATAACTAACATAAACATGAGGTGGGTCTTGTGGTGTGGTTAGAGGAATTTCATGTGTATCTCAGGACATCACACTGGCCTACCTTGAATACTCAGAAGCCTTGTGGTAAGAATAGGAATTTACGTGTATCAGAACTTACATCCTTAGCCTGACCGGACTTACTAAAGTGAGGTTATCCTCTCATTAGCTTTATCTTATTCGTTCTCTCACCTATATCGGTATGCGAGGGAATAATTATTATATGATGAACTAGCCTAATATCCGGCTCGGGTTCAATTATGAGTAGCGGTACTCTATTCGATCTTATTGTACTTCCCTTCAAATCCTCTTGAAATGAAAAGGAAACTTACTTTTCTTGGGTTCACGAACATTTTTGAAGCTCATACTTTCCGTACAACTAAATTTGACATATTCATCGTACCTCGGATGTCTCCTTTAACGATCCTCAGTCTCAACTATCTGTATACATCCTTTATTGAATATAATTTAGCATATTACACTTAATATGGTTACACCTTATTTAACCCGCTCTTACGAGTGTTTTTAGGCCTTCTTGGTCATTTGTGTCCCTCATGGACTAAGTCTTACTATTACGGATCGTACTTAGTTTTTACGGGTCTTAAACGGGTCAAATCTAACCATCCGAAGTGAGTAGTTTCGATACTCTACTTGCAGTATCGATACTCTAGGGTCAAATATCGATACCCCTGTGAGTTTCGGTACCAAAAATGCATTCTGTTACAAAATTGGGGCCTTAGTATCAATATTGTCACCCTGAGTATCAATACTGTCGGGGTAGTATCGATACTTCTCTTGGTAGTATCGATACTCCATCCCAAAATCCCTAACTTTTGCCTTAATTTAACCAGTATCGATACTCAAACCCAGAAATAGGTATTTTAAGCTAAGGAATCAATCAAAAATCATCCTAAAGGTCATACTTTGATTCTAAATCATGCACCAATGTTATGGGTAGTTATTTAGCGTCTTAAGGTGTCATAAAACACATACTAAACATCAAATTCATGATTTATTGCATGAATAAAAAATGAAACCCTAAATGCTAAACTCCACAAATCTTAGCAATTTCTTGTGATTTATGAAAACTTAATACTCCAACGGATTAGAAATATACTACATTGATCATTGGATCCCGATATAAACCTCATTGCTTAGCCACACTAACTTTCTTGGTGATTTGGATGAAATCCACACCTTTTTCTTTAGCTTTGCTAAGGCACTTGAAACGTTACAATCCGAAAAGGTACCCAATGCAAAATACAAAATTTAGGATAGGGATTTTCCCTCCATATAAGATCCCATAAAATAATAGAAATCATGATGTTAATATCGCCCTCCGAGGAGGATCCTAAACAAAAGCATAAATCAGGATAGAGACGATTCACTCTGGAGAAGATCCCAGATAGATTGTAGTATTACATCAATATATAGATGGTAATTAACACAACAATAATCATATATCTAACATGTCAATGTGATAAACATAGCAAGAAAACGAGACATACAATCATAATCTTACATTATAATAGCATAATCAACAATCATCACACACTCAGACGATCCAATAACAATATCAGCTGATTACAACTTGAAAAAAATAAACATATAAAACAGGTCAAGCGGAGAAACATATATCAGCTAAACAATATCGATTAAGCCTTACGTTTTTCCACGATTGGTAGTACTAGGTCCTGTAGAATGAGAACCTAATAATCACATAGAACCATGTGAATGCTAAAACAATTAATCTAAACAAAAGCATACTAATAATTCATTAAACACATATGTATCCTGAGTCGAATGTGCAAAATCAGTCAAACGGGGGTGTTTGGATGTACTAGAGAGTAGTGCAGAGACAAGTGATCACCTTTAGAACACAACATCAAATGAGTCCAAAATCCCAGAATTTACTTAACACAATTATAACTTAAAACAATAAATGACGCAAAATAGGTCTTTCGGGTCAATATTTAGAAAACCAAACTGCAAAAACGAACTCAGTACCTCAAAAAACATAAATGTATAATTAACAAAAAAAATCAACTATCAAAGTCAATGTCGGTCAAACAATTTGGGTTAGTTCATACCGACTCAGGGTCAAATTGGTTCAAAGTCAAACCTGTCTGTTGCAAAATGTCTCAGACGCACCAAGGCGGTGCGTGTGACACATTGGACGTAGTCCGTGGCCTAAAAATTACCATAAATTTCATAATTACATTTATGGAATGAGGAGTCTCTTAATGAGGTTAGATCAAGGCGGTGGATGGTAGGGATGAGATTTTTACTAAACTCGAATATTCCTCTCTTCCCCGATTGCAATCGGCGATGACGAATGGCGAACCAATGACACCGGACGAACGTTGACGACGAGATGAACACAATGGTGTCAACGGTGACACCGCAACGATGGTAGCGACGATGAGATTGGATCCAACAGAGACAAACAACGGAAAGAAGAAAGAAAGGGGAAAAAGCAAAAACGGTCGGGAGTTTTGCAGAATGGAAAAAAGAAAAGAAAAGAAAAGAAAGAGGTTGGGTATTCTAATACCTTAAAACTTGGATAAATCATGCAAAAGGTCATCATACTTTAAGGAATCCACGCAAGGTCAGCAAATTAAATATTTCTTTGAATTTAGTCTCAAAATTTGAGACGTGACAAAGAACTCCTAGTTCCCCTTATTAGCAACAGATACGAATTTTGATGCATAAAAGAAACAAGAGTGGCCTTATTAGAGTGACGTTTAGTGCATCACTATGCTTACATACATACATACATGCATAAATAACATCATGGCACCATCAATGACATAAATGTATGCATGGATATATATATACACGTGTGATAGTGAAAGTTTTTCATTTCACAAACAAAGCACAAAAGTACTCATGGATTAGCAGACGGAGCCAATAAGAGTTTGCAAGTACCTCTCAATTGAAAAACAAAATGCAGCCACTTAAACATCAATCATTTTCTTGAAAGCATCAGTCATTAGATCGAATTCAAATTCGATGACAAAGGTACGGATTTCCATAGGAGCAAGCTCCACATCCAGTTTCTTTGGATCAACCTGTGAACCTCTTACAACCTTGGGATTTTTATTTGCTTCTCCTTCTACTTCCCAAACAAGTCTCTTCTTCTCCATTTCCTCTCTTTCTTGATTGGCAGACAAGCTCATCTCTGTCACCTTTGCAATCTAAACAATGCATGTAAACAGTATACTACAGTTTAAATGGTTTCCAACATAAATAACACACTATAAGTAGAGCCTGGAAAAACTCGTTTGCTGTACCTTCTTGCCTGGAAACAGCTTCTTCAGTTCCACTCTAGTCATTACAGAGAGAACACTATCCTCTCCAATCTGTGTAATTCAAAAAGCCACAAAGAAAAGGGAAAAAAATTACACCTAAAGGTCAGAAAATAAATAAAAGTTTATATAGACGTTTGTTATATCAAAAATACTTTGGAAACAAATATAAAGAAATGCAGGGGCTCTTTTAGTTTTACACATATTTAATACTGTTGCATGCATGAAAATAAAAAGTTAATTCTTGTTTTTTTTCCAATGAATATCTTTTCATTTCCTACAGTTAATCTCAGAAAATAAATAAAAGTTTATATAGACGTTTGTTATATCAAAAATACTTTGGAAACAAATATAAAGAAATGCAGGGGCTCTTTTAGTTTTACACATATTTAATACTGTTGCATGCATGAAAATAAAAAGTTAACTTCTTGTTTTTTTTCCAATGAATATCTTTTCATTTCCTACAGTTAATCTCAGCTTTCTATTTCCATTTATCCAACCATCCTAAATCTATGTAAAACTAAAAAGTTTTACATTGTTTAATTGGATCCTATCTCATATATATATATACATATAATATGGGATTGGATCCTCTTAGACAATGTAAAATTCTTTTAGTTTTACACAGATTTGGGACCGTTAGATTAGTAGAAATAGATTGATGAGATTAACTCATTTTTTTTTTGTTAATATCTTCTCATTTCCTACTATAAATCTCATTTGTTTATTTACACTCATCCAACGGTCCTAAATTTGTGTAAAACTTTTAAGTTTTATACTCATCCACTCAAACTTACCTTTATCACTACTTGCAGTTAAAATTATATATAATATTTTACAATTTTCAGAACAGGTTAAAGCAATTTCTAGAGAATGCCTAACTCGGAATAAAGGAACCACCATTCTGATAAGCATTCCTTTTTCCTTTGAAACCGATCTACAGGCAACTCTGGGTAATTTTTTCCTCTAAAGCATGTACAAGATGATTCAAATTAAAAGGCCAACCTCGTACAAATGTGCCAACCTTAGGAGAACTTTTCCACCTTCAAGCTCCTGTAAAGAGAAATGGGAATATTATAAGTTTGAAAGTTAAGGTAAATGCAAGCAACTTGCATGTTATAATTAACTAGATAATTATAGATGTCATGCTTGGAGCATGCTAATTAGGTTGTAAACTCCAATAAATAAACCTTATCATGTCATCCCTGGTCTGAAACTCATTATAATAGAAGTATAACAACATAATGGATAATTGTGTGTTCCCCCTTTCCCCATGTACCTGGAGAGTTATAAGAGCAACGTTATCAGGTAAATTATAGGAGGCATCAATCCCTGAAAATGTGGGTGTATGTGAACTCATCCAGTTATCTCCATCCTGGCAAGACAAGTTTGCTATTCAGAAACAAATCTCCGTAACCAGAATAATGTGGGGGGAAAAAGGGAAAGAGAAAGTAACCTCTTCTGCAAATGCTAATAGGAGGGGTGAGTATATCTCTTGGCCAAAAGAACGGCGCCACTTAGCACCCTCTCCTAGTGGGTCAATTCTGTAATAATATTTCCTTGGACCTGGATGTATTTTGTGATACAAAAAACAGGCTAACTATTAGAAGGGAAAAAGATGCATAATTTCTAGACAAAACTACACCTGAAGATGTTAAATCAAAAGTTGAACAAGTTATTAAACCTTAGATTAAAAGGCAAGGTCAGCTGGCAATAAGTAAAACCAATTTCATTTCAACTATTTGTTAACTATCTCGAGATTCATGTAAGCCCTCATCAGCCAGGGGACTGATAACTGAAAAAAATTGAATTACAACACAGGATCCAGATAACATTTACTTACAGTTAGTCCTCTGCAATCACCAGGAATGCAGTCTGTTTCATTTAAAGCCTCTGCGACTCCTCTAGAGTCATCAAGTAGCAGCCTCCTACATAGAAACAGAAATCTAAAATCATAATTCTCGCCAACTACAGGTATGCAAGTACGATACCTAGCCTTGTCCATGCCATAGAAACCAACACCTTTTACGTATTGACTTTGGGAATTTCAATGTCCACAAAGTGCTATGATCAAGGTAGTATAAATAAAAGTGCAGAAAAACTGAGTAAAGGAGAGATGAAAGAAAACCTGTGGAGCATCAACTCTATTTGTCCATCCACTATGCTAGATCCTCCGAGAGATCGATCTACCAGGACTGAAAATTCTTTCTCCTTATCATGAATGTAAATTCCTAATGTAATCTGAACCGAGAAAAAAGCTATAAGTCATAAAAGCGTTTCTCATTCATAGAAATTCTCTAAAGCGATAATTAATCTTGAGGAACAAAGTTATATAAAGAGCATACAGGATAATAATTTCCAGCAACTGGTTGGTTTACTTCCAGGTCCCAGTCTGCCCTAAAATCACGAATCTGCCAAAGAAAAAATAATTTAAAAGGAAAAGAAATAAAGGAGGTTGGGGAAATTAGAAGTCTATTGTCTTCTAGAGCTAAAAATAATTAGTTAACAGGTGGAAACTTAAAGAAGTTTCGAATTATGCAGTTTGTATCGAGGAGTTTTTGTGTTTGTTAGCAGTCTACTAATACTAGATAATAGTGTATTTAAGCCATAGTGCTGTAACCTACAGGAAATTAAGATAAAATTCTATTCTACTCTTACAGTTTATGTCATGGTATCAAATTTGGTTTTTTTCCTGATGGAACTCTGATTTCTAAGGGTGGTCATTGTTTGGTTTTAACCAAATTAACCAACCGAACTGAAATTTAGTTCGGTTAATCAGTTTGATGTTAGATCGGTTAACAATTAAGAAAAAATTCAAAGTTCGATTATTGGTTAATTCAGTTTGAAATCGATTAATTAACGGAATTAATCAAAAAATTAAATATTTAATATAGTATATATATTAAATATATATTTTATGCTCAAACCCATTAAGAATTAATACCAACTATTTTTTAACCACAGCAGACCCATTAAACTTTCAAGACCCAATCAAATTTTAACCAAAATGAAAAAAATATCTCTATTAAATTTAAATTAATCTAACTAAAAAATTATTAAAAAAAATCGGTTAATTCGGTTCGAAACAAGAAACCTAATAGTCTTAGAATTCTAGTTTATGTAACACAAACAGCCTATTTAAAGGTTGTGTTCTATCGCATAAAAATACAATTGGAACTTTCCTTTTCACCAAATTTCTACAATATCCATTCACCAGCATGCGGGGAATGTCGAATTATGTAGTTTGTATTGAGGAGATTATGTGATTTTAGGAGTCTACTAAGATAAGGGGAGTCGTTGTCTTTATCTTTAAAGTTTTTTATCTTTTATCTTTAGCGAGTTTGTTAGGGGTTCTACTACTACTAGATAATAGTGTATTTAAATTAAAGTTTCCTGACAAAAGTGTTTCTGTGTGTTCTAGATCCACGCAAATAACTCAATAAGTTATTTCTTGCACTATCTACCTTGGAAGATTAAGACATAGCACAAATATGGACTAAAGTTTTGAGGTTAACAACCATTCTATTTCAAGATGATTCTCAAACTATTAAAAGTTACAAAATAGTACATGACTATTAAAAATTACAAAATGATCCTATGACTATTCATGTGTTCCAAATTCATCATTTTCCGTTAAAAAATTGATAACATATTGAGCTGGATGTTAACCTGTTGACTGAGATATGATAGTTGTTTGAGATTTTGAGATCATATTTTATCATTTTACAGTAAACAGGTTAACGTCCAGCTCAAGCACAGAATGACGAATTTGAAACATATGAATAGTCGAGTAACCATTTTGTAACTTTTAATAGTCGAAGACTCAGCAGAAAAATGCCATGTAATCAGGGGACTATTTTATAATTTTTAATAGTCGAGGAACTCAACAAAACAACATCCTATAGCCGAGAGACCATTAATATACTTTACCCTAAGATTTAAGGCTTAACTCCTCAGCATGCATTCAACATACCCGTTTAATAAAATCACGTCCATTGGAATCTGTGTAGAATGTTTTGTTGCTTTCCAGAGAAGTCGTAATCTGAGTTGCTACTTCTTTGCCAAATCCATCATCAACTGGCACTGGCCCAACCTGTGAGATTCAGATGCAATAAATGCATACAACCCAACATGCCATGTTTATTCATATAAGATGGAGAAAATAAAAGTAAAATGCACAAGAGAACAAAGAAATGAAAGAACAGCGAAAAATATCATCACTAACAATCAAATACTCAAGACTATTATAAAACCACAAGGCTGAGCAAACCGTTAGGTAAACTTACAATGAACTCAACTTCAACATGCTCCTTCTCCTTGTAAAGTCTGGTAGTCTGCATAACTTTTGTCAGTAAGAAAACTATATATTCTACTAAAGAGAAGATAACTTAAAATGTAGAATAGCATCAGTTTAAATGGGAAGAAAGCATCAAAAAAGTAGAAAGAGACCGAACTTTAACTCTTCATAGTCCTGTTAGTTTCATCAACCAGCATAAGGCATTATTAAGCAAATTTTATCTACTAACAGGGGCTAGTAACAAATTTCCTCCACGTTTTCTGCTTATTTGTTTCATCTCGGAAGTGTCATATATTTATGCCAACCGCAAAGGAAAAATATTAAGCATTTCTAACGATCACCTTAAGAAGATTTTACTTTTTCAAGATAAATATCGGAGTGTACGGCACATTTAACTCAATAAAGAGAGAGAAGTATATTAAACCATCATCCCAAGAGCTGGAAAACCAGTAGCCATTAAGTATTAAACAGTTGTACTTAATGCGATTCATAACTCTTCTATTCTTATATTCATATCATCCCAAGAGCTGTAAAACCAGTAGCCATTACGTATTAAACAGTTATATTTAACGCGATTCATAACTCTTCTTTTCTTATATTCATATCATAAACTTTTAAATTCGCCCTACAATGCACGGCTTTAATACTAGTTCAGAAGAAGACAGGATTCACTGGAAGAAGAAATTACACCAACAAAAAACAAGCATTAGAGAAGGCAAGGCACCTGAAATATCCACTTATTTATTTGTTGATGCACCTCATGCATTATTGGTCCGTTGATAACAGTCACAAAGGCCTGAGATTTAACAAGAAGTTTATAGTTAATTTAATTATGTGTTTGAACAAAAACTTCTTTGAATAAACTTACACACCTGTTCAGCGTTTATGGGATATGTGCCATTTGGACGGAAGATATATGCTCCAGAGTTCTTGTAAAAGCACCAAATTCTTATATGAGAACAAACAAAGAGATATCTAATAATTTCACTTACTTGTCAAGCATGCAACAGCACAATAAGAGAATATAGAATGCTAGTGTAATGCATGGGGAACTCCAATGTTACATTGATACCTGGGGTGCTTTGTCATTAGATCCATTATATCCAGTGTAAAAACTAAATGATTGGCCCACTGATTCTTCAACCTTCAAAGGTGTCAAATTAAGCATTAGCCATATAGGTTTTTAGCCTTGTATCGCTCACTCCCTCCCATAGCAAAAAAGGAAGCACCATACAGAGACAGAAATACTGATGAAACAATTGAAAGAACCTCATATGTTCATATGTAATCAGGTCGAAAATATGCCAACATAAATAAATGCTTGAAGGAAAATAAAGCATCAAATAAGCAATATTTATCATGTATTACCCACCAAGTTTCGCTTGTTGAATAATTTATGATCTTCCCTGAGGTGCTGAAATAGTAAGCTTTAAATGTCCTTCACCAATTTCAATGGTTGGTTTTTCACCCATCTGAAATTTGTATATAGATGATTTGGTTGATCCAGCTCCTGAAATCAGACATAGAAACAGATTGCAACAATTTATTTGCATTTTTATAACCAGAGAAATAGCATCCATACTCGTTTAACTAGATAAGGAAATTTGCAATCAGTAAAGAAGCTACATGAGTAAACCTGTCTTTTTAGAAGAAGAGATGGTGTAAGTGCTGAAGCCAAGAGGTGGTACAGAAACTGTGAATGCAAGCCAATAATTAGGTGAAGCATTTGGGTTGCTACCTAAATATGCCCTAGCATAATAGTTCCTTATGTCCACATAGGCATCAACTATTGGAACAAGCTGTGATTCAATTTTTCTTCCCTTAGAATCACGAACAATCACATCTTCATTAACAACCTACAGCAAACCAGAAAAACGTACGTGATTTCCTAACAGCAACAAAGCCTGATAGTAAAATATAGATCTCACTAAAATTTTCCTTGGTCCACTTTGATCACCTAATTAAATAAGATGCATGCCAAACAATAGCTCTGGCTGCTATATTAGCAAATGGTTTTAGGCATAAAGTTACCTACATTCGAAGCAATGCCGCTCCACTTCAGTTATGAATGTCGGATATGGATGAATGTCCATCACGGATATATTCAATTTTTCCAAGTTTTTCCTTTCCCTCATAACCATGTCCATCACTAATCTATTCAATTTTATAAGTTTTTCCTTACCAGCACAACCATGACCACTTCGATTTCCAAAACAGGTACTTCATGAAAAATAAAGGGCTGATGCAACTGAGATTTTAAGTATCAAACAATTAAGTTTACAAAGCTTCATGAATAGCCAACATGTGTCAACATAATATTATGCTACATGCTCCTTAATTTGAGAGGGGAGAAGGAGAGAGGAGTGCAAGGCAAAAGATAAACGGAGGTACTCACAGGAAAACGTACTACATCCTCTCTTTTCCATCCCAAAGAATTGTAGATCACAACAATCTGTCGACGGAAAGAACATAAAACTTATTTCTCTAAGAATTATTTATGATATTAAACAACATAAGACATGGAATATTCCTTCTTACCAAGTTCTTTCCATGAGACAGGTCCGTCTCTGATGCAGGGCAGTAAGTTATATTCAGAAGTGGGCACTGGCAAAAGATCAAAGAGGGGGGGGATATAAAGGCATATCTCACATTAAACCCCTTAGCTAAATTTCATATCATAATTTAGATTGAAAATCAACTGTCTTACTCCTGAAACTAAATTCCATCAGCCATGATAATTACCTGCTGAAAATTGGTGCTTGAGTCCCCACATCCAATAGATGACTTCGAATCAGTTAAGCAAGCAAGTGAAGATGCAACAACGTTCTCAGCCTTAACAAAGATAATAAACACGTTTACAACTTCAGACCAAAGTGAAAAAAAAACGATATCCAAGAAAATTGTAAGGACTAAATTCGCACCTCGTTGTAGCCTACTGATAGCCTTTTTGCATAATCATAGGCCACGTGCTGCTTCTCAGTACCAGTAACAGCATCATGATGCTGAGCAATAGCCAAAGCATCTGCCAATGAGTCGGTATTTGGCCGTGAACCATTCCTCCCTTTGAAAAATTCAAGTTGCCTTGCAGCCTGATCATATATTCACATATATGTGTATATGAAAAGACTAATTGAACTATAACATATTAAAACGGAAAAAGAATAGTACCAGATAGTAGCCACTCATTATTCTAACATAGAATTTTAAAGCTGGTCTACTTGTAAAGTAGCCTGTCCAGTAAGCATTCACATCTGCATAACTGGTAAGTAGTACATTTTAATTTCTTAGAATATACAAACCGCCAGAACTAAGATTCATAGATTCTCAAGGAATAAACTCACGGAAAGTAGTCATCAGTTTTGAGCGGCCAAGATTTACTTGTAGCATACTTAGCATCAGTATATATGGATGCAGTGGAGTAGAGAGCATTGACACGTCCATCCTACAAGTATTCATTAAAAAACACTTGAAATAATGGTTTAGACCAATAATATGGCATCCAAAGAGGACAAAAACATACCAGGTAAGGCATGCTTAAAATCCAGTCACCAGAAAAATGAAAGAAACTAGAGATTCTCACCTTATTCACATAATGGATAAGCTTGTCCATGTTCCGGAACCAAGTATGAGCATACTGATACCTAAAATCTGTACCCATGGTCCACATTATGTGATTTGTTCTGGTTATGTTTGCCTGCAGATCAAATATAAGCTTTTACTAAGTATCAGATGCATGCTTTCAGGACCGACATGGACAATTAAATCAAAGATAGGATTCTTGAAGTTAAAAGACAACATAGTTTCCAGATATCTTAAGAATACACCAGCCATTCTGTGGCAGACTAGTAAATCAGGAAGATTATATATGATAATGTTTAGTTTAAATGGATAAAGATTAGGATACTTATTCCTGAAAAAAAAAAAGAAAAAAGATACTTCTCACAGCACAAAACAGATTTTTGGTGCAAGTAAGGTCAAACTTAATACTTATAATGGCCATCTTCATGATTATAACTAATAACATAAACTTCGCTAAAAAAGATACTTGCCATCTCATAAAACTAGACCTATAATTTCAACAATGCCATAATATTAAATGGGAGAAATAAAAAAGGAAATATTTTACCAAGGAAAAAGATACCATGTGATTTTCAAGATCAAATAGCATGAGAAGCAAAAGCATAAACCTTAAGAGAGTTCCATACAAAACCAAATTTCAATCGAATAGACAGCAAGGAAACCAAGACAGAAAATTCCTCACGCGGTAATATAATTTCATTTACCTGTGCAATAGCAGCAGCAACAAAGGCATTCACTCTGTCTTGGACATTGTAATCAAACAGATCGACATTGTCCTACATCAGAGGCAACCATATTTAAACTAGAACCAACTATGCATACTCAAGAGCCAAGAAACTGCCGAAACGAACAACATTCCACGGAGCTTACTTGAACAACAGGGGAATCAGCATTAACTTCAAAGTAGAAACCTGGTGGAGGTTCATAATTTTCTGGGAAGGCTCCTGCAAAAATCTGCAACACATCTAAGTTTAAGTGAATGTTAACTGAAGAATAATGGAAATTTTGAAATGTAAATAAATCAGGAAATGCAAAGTTTAAGTACAAGATGTGACATCCAAAACTAATCATGTATACCCAAATAGAAGCAAACCAACAAATGCATTTCACCTGAGCAGATGAGCCCAGACTCTTAGAACCCCGCCAAATAACTTCGAGACTCTCCTCTTTCTTTCGCTTAATCCTGTCTTGGTAGTCTATGCGGCCAAAGAAGAATGAGTCGAACCCAACCTACAAAAACAGAAACACAATAGCTATACTATGCTGCTGGAAGTGGGAAACACTAGCTAGAAGCAGTAGTTATGGGGTATACTTACCTCTGCGCCCAATAAGTAAGCCTGTACAGCAGAATGTCCAAAAGGATCAATTTGCCATCCAATTCTTGGAGTGACCAAACTCCTCTTTAAGGAACCGATGTCCAAGAGTTGTTTGATCAATCATGTCTATATAATGTGGTACCGCCTCATCATGCATGCACATTCCCCCATTTCTGAAGAATCAGAGGAACAGAATGAGGGGAAGTACGAACTCATGGGATATGATAGAAAATAATGGGCTTTTAGACATGCAACTTAGGGGTTATAAAGGGTTTATGTCACACATTACATGAACTCCAGTTGACCCGAGCTGACAAGTTCCTTGACTATACTCTGAGTTCGCTCACTTTGATCTCTCCACCACCGCTGAAAAAATGCCTGCACAAATCAAGTAAGACGATAACAACACGAGCATGACATTTGACACATGACCACCACATATCTCTTGCTAGTACAGTCCAGCATAACCATAGTATTAAATTGCGTCCGCAACACATTGTAACGGCGGCGGCATCATAACGCTCTTCAAGGTCATTGTGACACCGCAAGCCACAACCAGGACACCGCAGTCACAACCGCAATTTTGTACTATGGGCATAACCTTCAACTTCGTTTAATGCAGCGTTTTAGACAAAGAATATGAGAATAGAAGGTTGGGATTGGAGGAAAACTTTATACCAAGGTCATAAAGATTTTTTTTCATACATGCTTTTGGCAACCAAATACCACTCAATTGAAGAGAGAAAAACCACCACTAAAAAAAAAAACTCTTGCCTGCTCAACATAAATGAATTTCCGGTTTTTGTCAGCCAACAGTGCCGGCACTAAAGAATCCAACACATTCTGCACACAAGCCCCCTAAAAAACAGAGTAAAGGAAAAAATTACAAAAAAAGAAAAGAAAAGAGAAATATCTAATCAAGAGATAAACATAGAGTGGAAGGAGAAAGATCCCACTTGAATTGAATTGTTAGAGCCAACATAATACTGATCAACGGTTTTTAACCAACCGACATCATCATGGGTGTGAGGAACCAAATGAACATTGATTTTCCCAGCATCAACTCCTGCTGAAGTGTTATAAACCATGTACTTGGATTCTGCGCATAAAACCCCCAATAACAGCACCACGCCGATCAACTCGACCATACCCATTTTCCGCAGTTTAATTCTGAGTGGAGATGTTTGAGATTTTAGCAGTTTTCAGCTGCTGGTTTGAGTTAGGATAATTGAAACAAGTATGGCTTCAAGTGTCAGGTGCTTTAAGCTTTAGACGTTATAAAGCTAAATGAAAAGGAAAGCGACGATTTTCAGCAAAGAAGACAAAAACATTTGTGCAGAAGATGGAACTGCCATTCTTTCAGTTTCACTGAGTTTTGGTTTGACTTCACTTCTTTATTAATACTAGCTGTACCGTAGTTATTTAATATTTAGCGTAAACTACACTGTTAGTAGTTATACTATTACTTTTGCCCATTTTTATCATTTAATTATTGTTTATTCAAAATCATACCTAATATTATGTTTTAAATTTATTTTGGTCATTTATCGTTAAAAAATTAACAGAATTGTTGATTAGTATTTTTTTACAATAATGTGACATTATCTTATGATGATATGTCAGCATTATATTATTATTATTATTATTATTATTATTATTAACGAATGAACAAAATGAAACTAAAACTAAATGTTACGTATGATTGATAAAAAAAAAGTAATAATTAAGGTACTAGACAAATAGTTTACCCTAATATTTATTATCTTAATATATTAAGAGTATCGGTGGTCCACTGTGCTTGCGTCTTCTTATCCAAACCTATATCTTAGAAAAGGGTAAACCACACCAATAGTAACTATAAGTAAGTTTTTTTTATTGAAGTTTCAGAAGTAATAAATTGGTCACTATGTTATTGGTTTGTAACAAAATAATCATTAATATTATCGATTTGTAACAAAATAATCATTAATATTATCGATTTGTAACAAAATAATCATTAATATTATTGATTTGTAACAAAATGATCACTCTATTGTCATCTTTGTTAAAATGTTTATGTGGCAATGTTAAGAAAATGGTTAATATTTAATTTTACCCCCAAAACTATAGCTAAAACATCAAATAAGTCATTGAACAATGATTTTATATTTAATTTACCCCTAAAACTTTATAATTTCATTTTTTTCCAAATACCCCACCACCTCCATTATAGTCGACCCTTACAAAATAAAAAAAATGATGGAGATTTAAAATAGTTTTTTTTTATTTTCTATATATATTTTTTCATTTTCATTTTTAGGATGAGAAGTTGTGATTGTTACTACAATAACACAACAGATGAAAAAAATTAAAGTATTGTTAAAACAAACTTAGTCAAATGCATCTATTTTACTTGATTAAAGAGAACAAGAGAATCAAAAAAAGTAACAAAGAAAACAATGGAGCTTCAAAACTTATTGAAGAATCTGGAGATGGATAACCATGCGTGGCAAAAAGTGAAGTGTGAGATCTAAGCGATAGATGTGTCTCAAAACAATAAAATGGAAATACTACGGGAAAAAAATAGCTGCCAACAATGGAGTCGGTGTTGCAAAATCATGGTGTGATGTTAAAGATCAACAAAGATGAAGAAAGAACAAGAACATCAATGGTTTACAAACACTGTCATACTCCAAGTGTTTGCATCTTGAACTCTATAAGAGTTGTTATATGGTTAAGTTAGCAAACAACCATAGTGTAAATTAGTAACACATTACATCAATCACTAACCAAAAAGCTTTTGTTTATTGGTTGTTTTGGGTCAAATTATTTATCTAATTTTATATGCTTAGTGGTGAAATTTCTATGTTGGTATTTTATATCTTATTGTATAGTTCATGATTGTCTTGTTAGTTTAAAGTTTGGTATGGAAACTATTGCTAGTTGTCGATGTCCATTTCGTCTGGATACCATTATTATTATTATTATTATTATTATTATTATTATTTTATTAATTTGTTTTCAGGTTACAACTGGCCCAGCAAGCCCATACCCGAAGCCCAACATCAACCGGCCCAAACAGTGAGCCCAACAGAACCAAGCCCGAACACCAGCCCAACATAAATAAGCAACTAGGGTTTGAAACACTAGTTTTCAGCGTCGCCGCTCACACCGAGATCTCCTCTGTCGTCACTGATTTCGAGCTCCGGCCATTATCAACACCTACCAAACCCATTGTCAGTACCCATTAAACCAGCAAACTGACCCAAAACAAACAACTAAACAACAAAAATGAATTTCCCTTACTTATTAACCCTCACCCATGACTCGGCCGAACCTGTGACCTCCATCGTCATCATCACCTAAATCAATCATTCCTTTTCCAGTCACTTTTGTTGTACTAGTCCCTTGCCACCGCCATCTCTACCAACCACATGCCGATCACTGTTGCTGCTCCAACACGCTACCATCAAATTGTTTGTTATTTTTCTTTCATATATGTAGCAAGGGTTATAAAAACCCCTAAACAGAGGGAGGAGAGGGGTCTCTTCCCCCCAAAAAAAGATGTTAGCAAGGAATCAAAAAATCAAAGGTTCTTTTTAGTATTTCGAAGGTATCTTTCTTTTGGATTTTCATTTATGTTTCTATTTGTGTGCATATATGTCGATTCAAAGAAAAAAGCAGGGATGAGAGAGTTAGATTTGTTTACCTGAGTTTTTAGGTGTCTTCTTCGGAGAGGTCAATGTTAGGAAGAAGAGTCGATAGTTACCTTTAGCTTTTAGAGGTCTTGCATATGGTTTTAAAGGCCCGAAGGGAGGGTTAGAACAAAAGTAGTGATCAATCATCACCTTAAAGTTAGCGGAGATAGGGAACCCGAAAGGTATAAGGTTATTTTGGGAGGTTTAGAGGGTTTAGTCGGTAGTTTTTGCTTCGGATCTAGGCTTAGGAGGGTAGATCGGAGTGAATTGGATCATTTAGGTTAGGCTTAAGGGTTCCGACCACTGTGTATGGCAATCAGAATGACGGACAGAGCGGTGACCGAAAGGAAACCAACTAAGGAAGAAAGGGGAGAGTTGAGACATTTTGAGATTTTTTTAGGATTTTGGTTGAAAATGAAAAAAAAGAGAAAAGTGGGTTATATATGGGAAGTTTAGGGTAAAAACACGCATAGGTCCCCCTTAAGTTAGTCGCGTTTTTGCATGTTAGCCACATATAGGGACTAAAGTTATTATTTACTCGTTTTTATGTATGTTATATATATATATTGGGTTATTTGCTATTTAATCCCTCATATTTAGCATGTTTTTGTATGTTGGTCACTTGTAGGGACAAAAGTTGTTATTTACCCGTTTCTATGCATGTTATTAGTTTTTGGAATTTGTTGTTTAGTCCCCCTTATTTAAGCATTTTTTTGCATTTTGGTCATGTGTATTGATTATTTAATTTTATTTTAATATTTTTGGATTGATTTAGTAATTTATGCATTTTTCTTTACAAGCATGCTTTAGTATTGTAAAAAAGGAATAATCATTAAATAATCCGTGTAGTTTCAGCATGTTTTATATTTTGATCTCTTGTTGAAAACATTTTGATGTTTCGATATAACAAATTAAGTATAAATGAATTTTAATATTTTACAAATCATTTTCAAAGTATATTCGATTTAATTATTCGAATATACAAATATTACTCCAGTTTTTCAAAGTTCAATTTCAATCCTTACTAAAGTGGTAAAATTATGTTCCCAGTTTTTCAAAGTTCAATTTCAATCCTTACTAAAGTGTAAAATTATGTTTTATACTTAAAATAATTTTTGAAATAATTTTCACAAAGTATTTCGAACCAAAAATGAGTCAAAATCAATTTTATGAAGGGATGTATCTATGCACTCATTTGAGCATCGATACACCATATGCTCTCAACTGTTTTATTAATTGTTTTCACACTACAACGACTCTATTGACTCTACTAATGATCCACAACGTTCAGAAGTGATCCAAGGAGTATTTAAACAAGCTTAGGAGCCATTGATCATTAACAATAAACAAGAGAAAAGAGAGAATCAAAGAGAAAGCATCAAACATCAAGTTTGAGCACTTTCAAGCCTATTTCATTCAATATTCATTTTTGCTTTCAAGAACACTTATTGTGCTCAATTGTATTATTCTTGAGTGTTCTTTCTTTGTTCTAGAATTGTGCAAACATCTTGCCTTGTGAGGTTTTTCTTGTAAGTTTGCAAATTTGTGTATTTCTCTTTGGGAGAGAGTGTGCTCAAGAATTTGGGGTATAATTCTTGAGGGAGTTGTAAGGTTAATATTTGTCCTCAAAAGAAAGAACAAATTAGCAAATTTGTTGGAAAATCCTTAGTGTGGATAGCTAAGGAAGTGGAAGTAGACTTTGGTTGAGAAAGTTGAACCACTTTAAATCGTTGTGCAAATATTTTCTATTTTCTGCAAATGCTTCCACCAAAATCTTAATTGCCAATTCACCCCCTCTTGGCTATTTCGTCGATCGATTAACTCAACAATTGGTATCAAAGTCTCATTCATTTGAAGGTTTAATCACCTCTTGAGTCGATTCGGGAAGAGTTATATCGATATTCAAGTCATCAATGGCCTCCACTTCAAACCATGACTTCGTCTTGATTCATTATCCGTCAACAAGCCTCCTTTCTTCAATGGAGCTAATTATGCTTATTGTAAGAATAGATTGATGTATTTCATTCAAGCAAGTGACATGGGAGCATGGAATATCATAGAAGACGGATACATCAAATCTTCTACACATCCAAGATTGTGGAGTGAATGAGAGACAAGAATGTTCCAGCTTAACTCAAAGGCCATCCATATTATATTTTGTGCTCTTGGACCAGATGAATACGGGAGAGTTTCATCTTGTACAACCGCCAAGGAGATATGGGATAAACTATAAGTCACTCATGAAGGCACAAACGAGGAAAAAGAATCTAAAATTGTTTTCTAACTCATAGCTATGAAAAATTTAGGATGAAACCGGATGAAGATATCAAAGCTAAGACAGATAGATTTTCCATGATTATCAATGGTCTCAAATCATATGGGGACATCATTCCAAAAGAGAAGCTTGTAAGGAAGTTAGTCTACTCTCTTCTAAAAGCTTGGCAATCAAAGAAGTCGACGATTATCGAGGCTAAAAATTTAAAATCTTTAACCCTCGATGAGCTTATTGGTTCTCTTCTCACGCATGAAGTAATGCTTAAAGAAGAAAGACATCAAGAAAAGAGACGAGCCAAAGAAGGAGACTGAGAAAATGAAGAACGTCGGAGTTGCTTTCAAATCTACAAATGATTAGAGTGATTCGGATGAAGATAACGATGATGAGGAAATGAAATTGTTTGCCAAACGGTTCAAAAAATTGATGAAGCCAAACTAAGGAAGAAAATTCAAA